AGATGCTCTCGAGGTCACTGTAATCAGTCAATGTCCTCCAGTGAGATCCATAAACATTCTCGAGATATGTCGAGAAATGGCCAAGGATAACCTCTATGAGAATCCAGAGTCCTGAAATGATGACACAAAGTTTATTCAGCTGGCTCAACTGGTTATCAGTTGGAAATTCCTCAGGGAGGGGTTGGTGAGCGTCAGATCATATTTTCTCGAGGCGACTTTAGATAAGATGGCCTTCAAGGACAGCCAAGGCAACCAAAATTTAGATAAACACAGTTGTTTTGGGGACAGGCAGAACTTAATGACATCAACCTTCAGTCTGTGTCAGTCTACTCAGTTCCGAAATGTCCGAAATTCAATCCATCATTTGCAATTACCGGTGTTTGAGCTCGAGGAGCGACTGAACCTATTTTAAAAACAATAACGACAACACCGTGGTCTAATGCTGAAGTGCAGGCGGTTTTTGTGCTTGGTGGCCGACGACAAAATTCAGAGCAAGCTAGATGGAGCTCCCCTGGTCCTGACCACCAGAGCCTCGGAGCTGGCTCAGGCCGTGCAGGGCGTCATCTCCCTGGCTCTGATCTCCACTGGTTACCGCAGAAGATCTTCCATGCTGCCAACTCGGGGCTCCAGATCCCGGCTCTGCGTGCTCTGAGCTCCGCTGGTCACCGCGGAGGATCATATGAGCTTCTGACTTGCAGAAGGCCATTGCCCGGACCCCGGCAGACGGGCGGACCGGGACAGGTCTGGTGCACGGAGGGTGAAAATGATTTTAAAAAACATTTTATGTAATGTTTTTTTTTTTAATCAGTAAAGATTAAAAAATAAATAAATAAATAAATAAATGGTGCCGGCTTTATCATGAAATCCTGTTGTCACTTTAATGACTATTAAATAATCTGTTAAAGTTAACTCAACTTAAAAATCATAAAACGACACAAAATTATTGGATCTCTCAGGAATATTTCCCTCAAACATGTTTAAAGCAGAGCTACAGCCTTTAGTTCAACTTTATTCTAACCCACAGATGTACAAATCACAAAACAAAAATTAAACTTTAAATTAAAGCTTTAAATCAAAGCTAAACTTTAAATCAAAGCTAAAAAATAATCTGTATACAAGAAACAAAAACACAAAGAGTGAAAATACATCAAATGTTGAAGAAAAATATAGAAATTTAAATATAGATATCCTGATGCATGCTCAATAATCCAGGTAGAACAATCTAAAAAGTTAAGTCTGGTCTTCTGGACATTCAAAAAACAAAAAACAAAAATAATGTAGAAACGTTTCTTCTTTCATCCGAAAGACTTCTTCAGTCTGAGGTGCTGTA